GGCATTGATTCCACATACCTAATTTTAAACGCAACTTATGAGGAAACTGTTAAGCAATCATAACATTGGGCTGAATATATGGCTATCACTATCACTATCATTTCATCAGCAAAACGAATGAAGTTTTGCCGCAAAACGGACGGAAGGATTACATGGATTATGCTGAACTGGGTCGTAGAAAGCTTGACAGAACCTTGAAATATTCATTTGAACTGTCCCCAAAGTCAAGAAATTTAGGTCAGCCACCCCTTATTGATCTCTAAAGTTAATGCAAATATCCAGTTATCATTATTGACTTAACTAAGGAATCGAACATTATTTCTTTTGGTATGAGCTATTACTCCCGGTATCTAGATGCCTTGACTTAAAGACTAGCTTTTTGTTGAAATCTAGGTGTCACATTGATTTTGACTATGTAGACATAACTAGATACCAACTAGCTGAATTTTCCGTGTCAAATATTGGGACTAGGTAATGTTACAACCTGCTATAAGACGCTTCTTCCATATTAACTAGTCATTATAGAAATTTGACGTCACGCTACTACTACTAATACTACTACTACAGTGGTGGCGTTACTGGCCAGCAAACATGGTGGTGGGGAAATAACTTCAATCCATCCATGTCTGTGGGGCAGAACATTTTGTTAAATTACGGCTCCTCATGGTCTAGTGGAATGCCACGAACTAATGATATTGGTGCTGATCTATCATGAAAAATATCTCAATAAATCGTGTTAAGAACGTTGAATTGGTTTCACTTCCTGCCCAGTAACCCTATTACGAACAAACTAGACAATTCGCTAAAAACAAATCCTACTCAAGACCCGATAAAATCTAAAAAAGGCCTCAATAGCGTCGACAAAATAGGGAGACAGTCATTTATGTATCATAATACTGTTTTTAGCACTATATTTTATAACTACACATATTCCCATACTCTCAGTTTCTTTCTGAACCACCTCCATTTGTCAGTTGCTTATCCACTCATACCCTGTCTACACTTATTTTCTTTAATCCATTAGGATGTTCCTGTTTAATAAATACTTTAATAAGAGAATTAGACTGAGTAGTCATACCTTAACTATTTCTTCATGAACATTGTCTTCTCTGCTTCTCGTTTTTTTCTCTTGCACCATTTTTTAGCCCCCTTGGGATACGGAACGGGTGACCTCGTCCTACACCAACATTGAAACCCCAGATATTGCAAAGGAATATAACGTTTCAATTTCTAGAGGCCCTTAACTTCACATGAATATATTATCGATCATCAGTTGCACTTCACAACGCAACTTTCGTGAAGCCCGCCAACTTGATACTGACTAAACACATTTACTTTCATATCTTACAAATCATCAACCCAGCTGAGTAATTCACTACAATGGAAATTGTATCATTTGTAACAATTTGATCTTGTCTGTAAACTGGCATGCCTCATGTGACAAACTGTTATTTGAGAATAAATTATTGTTATTAAAACAAAATAAACCTTACTTGGCATTCACCGCCGACTTAATTTTTGTATTCTGTCATTTTGTTAGATTGTATGTGGTGCACAATAGAAACATAACTGATTCATACAAATATTTTCTCATTTTGGGACCCAAGATCTGACCATGCATGCGACTGTCAAATACACTAACTCAATCTTATCGGCCTGTAACAACTTAGGTTGATTTGTTAAGAGTTGATTTCCCGTAGGTGAAAACCAAAAGAATTCGAGCTGAGTTCTGGGGCTGTTGAAGCTATTAAACGACTAAAAGATAAGCTAGCTCAAGCATCTACGTTGATGAATCCAAATTCCTATTCCCCACTTGCTATGATGGTGTATGTGTAGTGGTGTTGGTCTTAACCACACAATCTTCAAAGCTGAACATGTGATAACTGGGAAAATACATATTCAACAATTAACACGAAGGGAAGGTCAAGGTAGGAAGAATTTATTGAAATCAATCAGATGGCGTGGTAACCTTGCAGACGTGGTCATTCTGTATAACTTGTCTTTATTCACATTAAATATATATCATTCTATCTCTAATTTAAATGTGTTCTTTACAAACGCTAAACGTTATATCGTGGACTGTTACGATACAATGATGTGACTTCCACGTAAGATCTTATAGATGAGGTTTACACATCATAGCATATCTACAAATATAGAATTAGAGTTATTATTAAAATAGTACTAATAAGGAACTTGGAACACAACTCTACAGATGCTTCGGACAAAGCAGTAGGCGGTTTATCCAACTTTTTCCTAATGAATATATACAAGTAAGTCAGGCTGTTCCAGTCATTGAGAGCTCATTTTAAAAGTTGATCCATGTGTTTCTGTCACATACAAAATTCTAAATTGTCGTTCTGCAATGCAAGGAAAAGGATAAACGAAGTTATAAATCTTCAAATAATTCGAAAACAATTATTACATCGTCTTGAGATGCGACAGAGGAGAAAAACGTCCGAACAGCGTCTCACCTAATTGTAACCCTTAGTACTGTACAGATTATATCAGAAATTACCTGATAACCACTTCTGATTATTGTGGAGGGAAAACTAGCTCCTAAAGGAAATATTCGCGGCACACACAGCGCTCAGGAAGCGAGCTCAGAAATAATCGGAAGTGGAGGAGAACGACATCATAACCAAAACTAGCGCGAGTTCGTAATGGAACTGAAGATCTCATGGATGTCTAAGGTTCGGTAACATTACAGACCTCAATGACAGTTTGGATCGAAGTGAATGGTGATAGGATTAGGAGGTATATTGGAATTACAGGCTTCAGTGTTTTAACGTGTTATCTAAACTGACTATCTATTACATGAAATGCACAGCAAGATGCACCAAAACGTGATACGATGCTGTTGTTTAGATTAGGCTCTCGGCTAGCGGTGTCTCCAGCAAACATGATAAGACCAGAATCAATATGGACGAGTTGCAGAACTATATATCTTTGGGATTTGTCTATCACTACGTTATCAATGTTCAGCACAGTAATAACATGAAGGCCAGCAATAAAAAACAAACTAATAATCTTTTAACTAGCAACCAAACTAATTATAATAACGAGAGCTCAAAGACATGTGGTGATGTCAGTTTTGAAACACACGATCCTAAAGGATAAATATAAGATAACTGAGAGGATTTACATTAACCTTTGAACACTTATTTAAGTTCAATAGAGGTCATCACGTGAACACTTTATCAATGTGGCATGACATAACCATGCAAACGTGGTCATGCTATAAATACTCTTGGCCTTTATACTAAACATAAGATTCTGTCACCACTCTGAATGTATTCTGTAAGGGTTCACCAAAAAGTACAGTTCTGACTGTCACGATAGGCCTAATGAGTATTGACATTAATTTGACTTCGAAGTAAAATCTTATAGACTAGTTAGTTGTATCATGGTCATTTCACAGAGATGTATTAGGTCCATCACTGTACTACCACAGACAAGCTCACTAATACCAAAATACACCTCAATTTTACTCACTTAAAGCTCTTGAATATCTAAGACTCGACGAGAATATTTCCGACACATTGGGATCCAATGCCTGTTCTCAGTGGTCCAATGACATTATATATATATATATATATATATATATATATATATATAGGTTAAATGTTATAAACACTTAGTTCACCAGGTTAGTGCGTGTTCTGATTTGATCTGGTAACAAATATCCACAACTGTAGATGATTGATAATTCCAGCGAGGTCGATGTACTCCCAAAGGTATAATCCAGCGTAGATTATGACATATTCCAAATACAGTCTATGAAAGTAGATGATATTTGGTTTAAACTTCGGTTAACACGATCACAAGTGAATGTAAAACCAGAGGTATGTGCGCAACAATGTATTTGTTAGCAGTCAACAGTGTGTCATGCTATCAGTGTAACACGACGGAAGAGTAATCAAGGTCATACACTTAAACAACACGTACAATCATTCATTGATAAATGTAGATGCAGTGAAAAATTGACAAAATAAATACAAGTAACATCAAAAACTATTTACAAAATAAGTTTATCAGGCATATCTCAACAAGGGTATTCAGTAAATCGTCTGACGTTCATTGCTCTCTCATGAAATTTAGAAACTTTTTGGGTTTTTGGGTGATTTGGCTGGGATTTTACGACATTTCGCTGGCTCTACAGACGAATGTAGCTCATATCTTCTGGAATTAGAATAACTCCATCCATAGTATTGAAAGGCTGCGCAACACAAATCGGAACCACTTGCACACGCGTCTGTCCACGGTGTGCCAATGTTTGAGGTGAGTTTTTTGACCTTCTTAAAAAGGATCGGTAGACTGTTTGGCATTCACATAGTAGGTTTCCCTAGTAAAAATTTGGGGGTTATGGGATCCGTTTTAGCGAGAGATATTATGGACACTTTGTTACTGGTCCCCTTAAAACAGGACAAGGTTTTCGCGTTCCTAAACATGTCATGGATGTTCAGTGCATGTCAACGCTGCTATCCGCAACGCCTGACTAACAGAGGACTTCAAAGCCGGTCAAACCAGAAGTCATATATGAAGGTATTCAAAGGATTACTCGAGAAATCATTAATGCATCGAGAAATGTGTAATTTATTCTGATTATATACTGTGAGAGTTTGGGAGGATGGTGTACCCAAATGTGATATGTTTCAGATATATGACTGAGCGCCTTCAGCTAGAGGTGTGTCTTGCAGAACTGACGTGGTTGAATTTCATGTCATGAAGTATCTAGATTAAGGAGCATATCATTTCAGAACTGCGATCGATTTTCCATAAACCAGATCTAAAAGAACCAACGACTCACTGTCCGTGTTCGGGAAAGACTTAGTTTCTCAGTTTTTGAGCTCCTTATCAGTCACAAAGAAGGTATTAAGAGCTTAAAGCTTATCTTCCCTCGGCGTCAAAAACTTTTTCATAGGTTAGAAACACGACTTGTTTTAACTTGTGTTTGATTTACATGTAGATAAAGCGCCTGAATGAGTTAAGCCGTTGCAATGAGATTACGACCGTTTCTTTCGCATGTTTTTGTCAAGCGGTGTGTGAACATCAGTTCTCCTTGTCGTACATGTACAGCTTTTAAACCGAATTACTTTTCAGACCATGGTTCTTATTTCGCCTCTAGGTAAGTCTGTTTAAATCTACCTATAGTAAACCACTTGTTTCCGTCGGATATCTTGGTCTTGAGTGAGGCTAGACAATTTATCATAGAAATGATTGCAAAATAAGGCACTTACACAGGCAATCTTATCTTAAATGCAGCTTCACAGGTAGAGATCTTTCACAGCTAGATTATAATAAAAATTTAGCTCTTGGATTCGTTAACTCTAAAAACAAATGCTCTTATACTCAAGCTGGTTATCGTAACTAAAGCACTTCATAATATCCTTATATCAGCCTATTTCCACTCGACTAAAACAATACTGACTCCTAGTCATTCTAGCTCTGTGTCTGTCTTTTCAGTCGAAAAAACGCTTCACCGTAAAGCTGCGATTGAGAATCGCAGGGTTTGGAGATCCAAAAATGGTTATTTAGCGAACTCTTCTACTCGCTGACCAACCTAAAATGACCGCAAGAGTGAACCAGTGAGAGGTGCAACTATTTTTAAACTAGAAAATTAGCACTGCGTTTATTATTCAAGTCCATTCAGCCATTATCAACATTTAAAGCCCATCCAACCATTTCTCATTTACTTGTGTCCTAGAATTCGGCCATGTATGCAACCACTAAAAACAGTCGTTTATTAGTTTTCAGATGTAAGTTGCTTTCTAAAGATTCTTTTTTGCTACTACCACTCATATGAAATAGATGAGGACTTTTCTGTTGTTTGTTTGAGGCTTACATGTTTTCACCAGAAAACACAGGCTCGTCTAGTGATTCATTCTGATTTCTCATGTCATGTATGTAACTTATAGTTTACACTTTATCCTTCTTAAACGCTGATAGAAATCATGTAGCAGTTGACTGACGTGCATTATTTGGACTCACTATGAAGCAAAACATGTTTAGTATTCTTTAGTAGCCTGAAACTGCCCGAAAGTTCTGAAAAATTGTTGAACTGGTCTACTTTCTGATTTGTTCTAACCATATGTTCCCATGCCCCTGGCTTAGTGGCTGCATATCTACCTGGACAAACAAAGTTGGAATAATCTAAAGTTTTAAAGTATCATACAGTACTTATTCTTCATCGTCTAATTCTTCATCTAACTTGACAAGAAGATCTCTTTAAATCACTTTCTTGAAAGTGGAGAGTGATTTCTGAATTGATTTCTCAGACAGTAATATCCTGAATTCTTTGATGTAAGCTGATAACCAAGTACCATTGCAGATCGTATTTTTATATTTGATGGTTTATTTAAAGGTTGGTTCTGGAATTTTGTATTAAACTCTGCAGATTGTATAAAAATCTTGTTTTTTAATTTAATCAGGATATCTTTACGACATCTGCACTTCGATCCCTGTATTTTTGCCATACGTGTAGTTAATGTACCTCCATTCGCCGAATCGGTCACAGAAGGGGATATTGTTTGGAAAAAGGCCGTCGGTGACACAGTAAATGTAGACGATGTGATTGCGGAGATCGAGACTGACAAAACTAATGTCCCTGTCCCAGCCCCATGTTCAGGTGTGATAACACAACTTCTTGTTGAAGATGGGGGAAAAGTTACTGCAGGTCAAGATATATTTAAAATAGAGGAGGGTGTTGTTCCAACTTCCACGGTTTCTGGAAAGCTACCCCAAAAGACTGCAGAAAAACAGCATGAAGAGAAGCCTCTCGCCTCACCTCGAGCTCCTTCATCAGTTACTCCACCTCCAGCAATAGCTCAAAGTCTTGCAACAACTTCATCCTTATTCCCATCTCTTGATAGTGCACGTGCAGAACAACGTGTAAAGATGAGCCGTATGAGGCTTCGGATCGCCCAACGTCTGAAAGATGCCCAGAATACGTGTGCGATGTTAAGCACATTTAATGAGATTGATATGTCAAATCTTTTCGAACTTAGAAGTCAGTATAAAGATATCTTTTTAAAAAATCATGGTGTGAAGTTAGGAATGATGTCTACGTTTGCTAAAGCCTCTGCAGTTGCTCTTATGGACCAACCAGCCGTCAATGCTGTCATTGATGGCCAGGACATTATATACAGAGATTATGTTGATATTAGTATTGCAGTGGCAACCCCTAAGGGTCTTGTCGTTCCTGTATTGCGCAACGTTGAGAAAATGAATTATGCTGATATTGAACGTGGTATCAATGACTTAGGTGTGAAGGCCCGTGACGGAAAACTGGCTGTTGAAGATATGGATGGAGGGACTTTTACAATTAGCAACGGTGGTGTATTTGGCTCATTATTTGGTACCCCTATAATCAATCCACCCCAATCTGCAATCTTAGGTTTGTATGGCGTATTCGATCGACCGGTTGCACGAAATGGACAAGTTGTCATCCGTCCAATGATGTATGTTGCCCTAACTTATGATCATCGTTTGATCGACGGTCGTGAAGCAGTAACGTTTTTACGTAAAATCAAGGAATTTGTTGAGGATCCACGAACATACTTCCTTCAGATTTAAACAATATGCTTTTTAATGAAAAGCATTTCAAGTACATTGCTAATTTTCAAGTTTTAAAATTTATTCAAGTTTTCTTTTCATCTAGCGTTCTAAAATGCAACTAGTAACAGTTACAAACCTTTTAGTTTTTGTATACATATATATACAAATACTCGTATAGTACTTTCATAACTTTCATATTTCAGTCGTTCATGAACAGAGTATGTATTATTTGTTCTTAGTTTATGGAAGAATAATCTGTTTCTTAGAGTTTCTGCAAGGTATTTGTATATTTTATTCTCGATAATTATTTCTGACCCATTTTTATGCGCCAGACTCTGTAATTCTTAATCGTATACTTAGACATTCAAGTATATATTATTAGTTCATATTTAATTAATTTGTCCTTGTAATGATTTTCTAGAGTTATCAAAATGCAGTAATCTGGTTGACGGTAGCTCTATGAATTTTATTTCTTTCGTATTTTTATTTGATATTTAATTACAGTGGGAATAATTAGATAATTGTACTGTTTAGTCAACTAAATTTTGTCTTATCCTCTATTGCAGCACAAAGACTATGGTTGTCGTATCTCCAACTTGTAAACATATTAATCAAACCTGAAAATTAACAGCACCTGTTTTGATTTGTATATAAATTACAAGTATATCGTCTATTTTAAGGTAATCAACAAGAACAGCCAAAATATACTCGTTAATTATCGCATTTACATCATCCATGTGACTAGTTGTCTATGAAATTTTAATCTCTAAAACTTAAAATCTCTCTTCGTCTTAGATGTTTCTAGCTTCTGAAAAATTTCTTACCATAGGCGAAGAAAGACTTGGACTATTTGCTGTTGTAGTGCTATCATAATTACTTCGTCAATTCATTTGGCATTAGTAATTATTTTTCTTACAGGTGCTGTATAATAACGCATATAGTGGCATTAAAATTGAATATAAGAGGAAATGCCATTTGTAAGGGCATTGGGAATAAAGACTAACTTTTAAGTCCTTAAATTCTATTCATAAAAGACATGTCTCTTAATGCACATCTCTTTAATAGTATTCATTTGGTTGATATCTGAGATTAGTTACTCAGCGTCAGTCAATTAATCGAGCATTCTGAAAAGCGTTGTACCTGTTTGCCTACAGAATTAACATCTTAACCTGAAACTTAAGAATAACTCATTTGTTCAGTCAACTTTAATGTTTGTTCCGATAGTTTTCCTTTATTTCGCATCTCATTAACGCTTCATACAAGATTTATCCTGTACAGAGAAATTACGCAACAACGCTCGGTCATACTTCCTGTCAATATAGAAATAAGCCGTTTGCACTAAAAGTTCAGTAAATACATATTACGAATGATTATAAATTAGTGATATACTTGTGATGCTTCAGTGGGTATAAATTAGAATATACAATAATTCGTAACATAGTGTGAGGCAGTTCTTCAGAGTAAGTAAATAACCTAATCAAAACAATTTCAGTTAGTATAGAGGAACTATCAAAATAAACCTGGTTATGTCAATGTCATGTCATTTTTAGTTAAGGTGATTTTGTGAGACACCACCTTGTGTGTATGCTCGTGGGTGTGTAAAATGTAACATTTGTATTGTGGAGCAAAATTGGCATTTGTGTGCGTATGTATGTGTACGATGTGAAACATGAATAGACTCAAGTGTGGTTCAGTCCAGTTCGGATGGATAGTCAGGTCTTCCTTTCTCGTCGACGTAAAGAGACTTAACATTATATGAAATACCTTTATGGTTGGAAAAATATTTCTGAATTATTTCGATATTTCTAACATCGGTTTGGTAGTTTTCAAAAAGAGCATGAAACGTACTCACAGATGTACAATTCGTGATTGGACTGTAATTTATGACTGAAAACTTGGGGTGAAATTGCTCTAAACTGTGTACTTTCACTACCTTACCATAAATTCTGTATTATGATACTACTTTAAAAATCTTATCTCAGAGACTCATGTAATCCTTTTCGGCTTATCTAGTTTTCATTATCAATTAACTCCATTATTTCAGCCTGTTTCCTTTATTATTATTTCAATCGCCGAGCTCTGAACCTGTTATGGCACGTATCGATACATTTGCTTTGTCTAATCCCTTATGACTGAAAAATCATTCCTAAAATAAGTGTGATTACTAAGGTTGGACATGCTAATTTCAAGTAAATTGAGCACTCGCAAGAATATTAACAATAAATTAATATATCTTGGATAACCTAATCAATAGAAATTGGAATTTTCGACATTTCATGGTCTGGTATAAGCCGCCTCAGAGTAAATAAATTAACACAAGTCCAATCAAAATCATTATGGCTCTGACTACGTTAGTGTTATTTTCAGTCAAGAAAATTCTGTTTATTTGTGTGTATGCTAGTAGGTATTAAGTGTGAAGTTTCTTGCATTAGGGATTCTACCCGTAAGATCTAAAATCGTGCAAAGGAACACCTAAGCTGCATAATCATAAAGAACTTCGAATTTTAACTAGACCAGTCTCTCTACGCGGATTATCATCATAACTAGCCTTTCGTTTCACTTTTTTCTACGTTTTGTATACTGAAGAAAATATAGGTATTATTCAACGTCGAACTTGACATATATAGTCAACACAAACTAGAATATAACATACTTGACGTTGATGTATTTAGTAATACCACGAATGGCATTGTAAATGTAAGTATTTTGAACGAGAAAGAACCCATATTATACACAACAACAATTTCCTTCCAATTTGATCAAAACCACACGAAAAGACAAGTTTGGATTCTCTAAAATCGAAAACACTAGACACTATGTGTATGCGAGAGAGATAAAATCTTATCATTCAAATAATGAGTCTGTTGTGAGCTCATAAGAATTCCATAATTAAACCTATATTTCTTGAACTTTTCAAGAAAACAATAAGTGCATTATCTCATTATTGAGCCATTTTACGGTCGTAGATAACTGAGTTTAGATCGATTTTATCAGTTTAAAGGGCCTTTGCAATATTCTATTTTAGGTTGATCAAAAAATAACATTTTAATCCATCTTATGGGATTTAAACCTCTTCATAGTAAATCCGTTTTAAAAATGTCTTATTCTCAGTAATTTGACAAATATTTCTCCTTATTGACCAAAGTAACTTATTTCCAGTCCTTTGGCTGCTGGTCTGAATTGCTCTCTGTTCATTCGTATGGTCAGCTGGGTAAAACATAGTAATATATGGCTGTAAACCGAGTTTACAAGACCTATACTTGATTACAGGCTTGGGGTATTTTATTCTGATATACCTTTATTCTATTATAGATTGATGTTTATAATATGATCAAATGTTGTAGAATTATTAACACTGACCATAGATCATAAAACCTTGCTGTTGAGATATTCGTATAAAAGTATTATCTATTATAGGTTGGTTTAATTGGTAGTTGTTTTTACAAAGAATATTCTTACATTTTGGTGTATATATGTTCTAAAAAGAAGATCGATTGTTAAATATCACTAATCTGTTTCACCTTATACTTGATATATGCTGTACATATACCGGAATACTCATTATAAGTTTAAATTTTTGCAATACATATTGACCTGAACGATCAAATTGAAAGACAATGACTATGAATATTACTGATTAAAATGTACTTGACATTTAAATTTTATATTAATACAGATTATTTAGTTAATTACTGACTTTTAAGTTGTTAAAGGTCATTGGAAGTCACAACAAAAAGTTTATGATTATCGTCACAAAAATTATTGTTGAAAATATACTTATTTGATAGTGAATCAACTTGTGGAGGATTTTAAAAAAGTAATGTCTGGATGCTCCATATGAAACGCGTAAATTTTGTGTTCATCTATTGGTAAATTCAAATGATTTATATCTTTTACTCTGTGATTAGGGAGATAAGCTTATAAAAAGTAAAACCATTACATTTTACTTAGTATCCTAACTGATAATAAGATTATACATAAAATATTAACGGTATTACTAAACAAATAAAAATAACAATTATTGTAAATTATACGAATATTCGTCAAGATTAGAACGAATAGTTTGACAAAAATTGGGCGCTGAATGTAGAGAAGCCATTATGTTTGAAATAATCTCAGAAATTGAAAATAATTCCAACGTTTGGTCCAACAAACTTGTCTGAAATTCTTCAGGGTAATAATCAAAATCATCAAAGAAATATATAGTGTTTAACAATCAAATCTATATTGTGCTAATCCAATCATATTGGATGTTGATTTTAGTAGATCGGATACATGAGTCAGTTAAATGAGAATCATGTGAAAAGTTCACAATGTAAAAATAAATGACTGTGTGTATATATATATATATATGTGTAAGATTGATTTATTAATAATTTCACTGGTTGAAATCATGAATCAATTGAAGCTAGACCACCATGGAAAACCTGGAACGACTGGACGGCCGTTTCGTCCTAGTATGGGACTCCTCAGCAGTGCACATCCACGATCCCGCTCCTCACGAGATTCGAACCCAGGACCTATCAGTGAGATATCAGCTCACTGAAGACTGGTATACGGTGGCGCAACTTCGTGGATTGGTTGAAGTTATAAATTAACACCGTTAGATACCGGCTCAGTGGTCTAGTTGGTTAAGCGCCTGGCGCGAGACTGATAGGTCCTGGGTTCGGATCTCGTGAGGGGCGGGATCGTGGATGCGCACTGCTGAGGAGTCCCATACTAGGACGAAACGGCCGTCCAGTCGTTCCAGGTTTTCCATGGTGGTCTAGCTTCAATTGATTCATGATTTCAACCCGTGAAATTTCTAAAATCTCCACACAACCCCTTCTGATTATTAATTATTGATATTCTGTGCTAATTTGTTTTTATATGAAGGAATAAATAAAAGTGCAAGTTCAAGGTTGAAAATTTCTTTCTGAATCATTGATGTGCGTGTCAAATGAGAATCATCATGGTAGTCTAGCTTCAACTGACTCATGATCTTAACCATTGCTAAAATTATCAATCTAGGGGTTAAG